GGGTTCCAAATTCTTGCTAGAAACAGGCTTGTGCCATCATGATTAAGATCCTGTGTGATAGAGGTTCCGGCGCTAAAGAGACCCTCTGCCATCATGATTTCTTGGGTTCCGGTAAAAAGGTTCCGGCGGTAAAGAGGCCTTGTGCCATGATGATTTCCTGGTTCCGGAAAAAGTTCAGGCGCTTCAGAGACCCTTTGCCATCATGATTTCTTGGGTTCCGGTAAATGTTCCGGCACTTCAGAGACCCTTTGCCATCATGATTTCCTGGTTCCGGTCAACAAGTTCCGGCGCTGAAGAAACCCTTTGCAAACATGATGTCCAGGGTTCCAGTAAAGGTTCCGGCGCTAAAGAGACCCTTTGCCATCATGATTTCTTGGGTTCAGGTAAAGGTTCCGGTAAAGGTTCCGGCGCTAAAGAGACCCTTTGCCATCATGATTTTTCGGGTTCCGGTAAAGGTTCCGGAAATAAAGAGACCCTTTGCCATCATGATTTCCTGGTTCCAGTAAAAGGTTCCGGCGCTTCAGAGACCCTTTGCCACCATGATTGGCCGTGATTTGCTGGCTCCGGTCCACAGGTTCCGGCGCTAAGAGACCCTTTGCCATCATGATTTCTAGGGTTCCGGTACAGGTTCCGGTGGTAAGAAGCGCTTTGCCATCTTGATTTCCTAGTTTCGGCAAAGGTTCCGGCCAGAGACCCTGTACCATCATGATTTCTTGGGTTGCGGTAAAGGTTCCGGCACTTCAGAGACCCTTTCCCATCATGATTTCCTGGCTCCGGTCCACAGGTTCCGGCGCTAAAGAAACCAGTTGCCATCATGATGTTCTGGGTTCCGGTAGAGATTCCGGCGCTTAAGCGACCCTTTGCCATCATGATTTCTCGCGTTCTGGTAAAGGTTCCGGTCAAGGTTTCCGCGCTAAAGAGACCCTTTGCCATCATGATTTCTTGGGTTCCGGCAAAGATTCAGGCGCTTAAGAGACCCTTTGCCATCATGATTGGCTGTGATTTGCTGGCCCCGGTCCACAGGTTCTGGCGCTAAAAAGACCCTTTGCCATCATGATTTTTCGGGTTCCGGTAAAGGTTCCGGAAATAAAGAGACCCTTTGCCATCATGATTTCCTGGTTCCGGTAAAAAAGTTTCGGCGCTTAAGCGACCCTTTGCCATCATGTTTGGCTGTGATATGCTGGTTCCGTTCCACAGGTTCCGGCGCTAAAGAGACCCTTTGCCATCATGATGTCCCGGGTTCCAGTAAAGGTTCCGGCGCTAAAGAGACCCTTTGCCATCATGATTTCCTGGTTCCCGTCTACTGGTTCCGGCCCTTAAGAGACGCTTTGCCATCATGATTGGCTGTGATTTGCTGGTTCCCGTCTACTGGTTCTGGCGTAAAGAGAGCCTTTGCCACCATGATTTCTTGGGTTCTCGTAAAGGTTCCGGCGCTTGAGAGACCCTTTGCCATCGTGATTTCCTGGTTCCGGTAAAGGTTCCGGCGCTTCAGAGACCCTTTGCCATCATGATTGGCTGTGATTTGCTGGTTCCGGTCCACAGGTTCCGGCACTAAAGAGACCCTTTGCCATCATGATGTCCTGGGTTCCAGTCAAGGTTCCGGCGGTAAAGAGACCCTTTGCCATCATGATTTCTAGGGTTCCGGTACAGGTTCCAGTGGTAAAGAAGCGCTTTGCCATTTTGATTTCCTAGTTTCGGCAAAGGTTCACTTTGGCAACATCCGCGGTCACTTTGCGTGGCAGGCGTGGCCCTTGGCGGCATCCACCTTCGTTTCGCGCGGCAGGCGTGGCACTTATGGCGCTGGGCTGGCTGTGGTGGCGGGGGTGCGGTTGACGTTGCGTGGCAGGTGTGGCTCTTGGCGAAGTCCACCGTCACTTTGCGTGGCAGGCGTGGCGCTTGGTGACATCCGCCTTCGTTTCGCGTGGCAGGCGTAGCACTTATGGCACTGGGCTGGCTGTGGTGGCGCGCTTGGGCGTCGCTTGGGCGCTGTTGGTCGCCCGGTGGTTTTGCATGAGGGTATTCACGGAAATATGCGACATATCTATGAAAAATACTTATATACATATACATATATATATATATGTAAACTAAATATATACAACTAGACGACGGATGGCCCGAGAGCGTAGAGGAGCAGGGTCTTCTCTTGTTAGTATGGAGACACAATTTTACAAACAATATATGAAAGATGTGTTATAGGCAGTCGAGAAGAGGAGTATCAAGACAAAATAGTGAGAAGTGCAAGACAATAGTTTGCATCGCAAACACTTTTACACACAGACGCTTTTACACACAAAAGCTTTTACACACAGAAGCTTTTACACACAGAAGCTTTTACACAGAGGCTATTACACACAAAGCTTTTACCCACAGAAGCTTTTACATACAGACGCTTTTACACACAGATGTTTTTACACACAGACGCTTTTACACGGACACTGTTACACACAGACACTTTTACACACAGACGCTTTTACACACAGACGCTTTTACACACAGACACTTTTACACCGCTTTTACACAGAGACGCTTTTACACACAGACACTTTTACACACAGACACTTTTACACCCAGAGACTTTTACACGCAGACACATTTACACAAACACGTTTACACACAAACATTTTTACACACAAACACTTTTACACACAGACACTTTTACACACAGAAGCTTTTACACACAGACGCTATTACACACAGATGCTTTTACACGCAAAAGTTTACACACAAACAGTTTTACACACAAACACTTTTACACAGAGACGCTTTTACACACATAAGCTTTTGCACACAGACGCTATTACACACAGACGCTTTTACACACAGACGCTTTTACACACAGACGCTTTTAGACACATCGCAATTTTACTTCAGTTTTTGGCGATCCAACCTCATTTCGCGCGAAAGGGACATGCGACAGGGTTGCACGGGACAAGTTGAAATCGCAATTTCACCTCAGTTTTTGCCGATCGAACCTTATTTCGTGCGAAAGGGTTGCGCCGGACGACTTGAAATCGCAATTTTACCTCAGCTTTTGCCGATCGAACCTCATTTCGTGCGAAACAGTCCACCGGAAACACGAAATCGCAATTTTACCTCAGTTTTTGACGATCGAACCTCATTTCGTGCGAAAAGGTTGCGCCGGACGACTTGAAATCGCAATTTTACCTCAGTTTTTGACGATCGAACCTCATTTCGTGCGAAAGGGTTGCGCGGGACAAGTTGAAATCGCAATTTTACCTCAGTTTTTGACGATCGAACCTCATTTCGTGTGAAACGGTTGCGCGGGACAAGTTGAAATCGCAATTTTACCTCAGTTTTTGGCGATCGAACCTCATTTCGTGCGAAAAGGTTGCGTTTCGTGCCGTCTCGTTGCCACTGCCTCTGCTCCCGCCTTCAAGAAAGAAATAGAAAAGAAGGAGAGGGCAAGAGGGCAAGAGGGCAAGAGGGCAAGAGGGCAAGAGGAGAAGGTGTGAGATGAGAAGATGTGAGAAGATGTGAGAAGATGTGAGAAGATGTGAGAAGATGTGAGAAGATGTGAGAAGATGTGAGAAGATGTGAGAAGATGTGAGAAGATGTGAGAAGATGTGAGAAGATGAGAAGATGTGAGAAGATGTGAGAAGATGTGAGAAGATGTGAGAAGATGTGAAGATGAGAAGATGAGGAGAAGATGGGAGGATGAGAAGATGTGAAGATGAGAAGATGTGAAGATGGGAAGATGTGAAGATGTGAAGATGAAAAGATGTGAAGATGAGAGGATGTGAAGATGAGAAGATGTGAAGATGAGAGGATGTGAAGATGAGAAGCTGTGAAGATGAGAAGATGTGAAGATGTGAGAAGATGTGAGAAGATGTGAGAAGATGTGAGAAGATGTGAGAAGATGTGAGAAGATGTGAGAAGATGTGAGAAGATGTGAGAAGATGTGAGTGGAGGTGGGAGAAGATGTGAGAAGATGTGAGAAGATGTGAGAAGATGTGAGAAGATGTGAGAAGATGTGAAGATGAGGAGAAGATGGGAGGATGAGAAGATGTGAAGATGAGAAGATGTGAAGATGAGAAGATGTGAAGATGTGAAGATGAAAAGATGTGAAGATGAGAAGATGAAAAGATGAGAGGATGTGAAGATGAGAGGATGTGAAGATGAGAGGATGTGAAGATGAGAAGATGTGAAGATGAGAAGATGTTTTACAGGCCCCCACTATTGGAAGAACCCTGCGCTCAGACGCTCTCGGGAAAAATCAATATATATATATATATATGTAAATAATCTAATATATATATGTAAATATATATATATATAGACAGAGCTAGCTAGATAGAAAGAAAGATAGATCGATAGATAGATAGATACATTAAATAGGTTAGATAGATTAGATAGGTTAGATAGATTAGATAGATTAGGCAAATAGGATGGATTAGATAGATCGATTATATTGATTAGATAGATTAGCTCGATGAGATAGATTAGATAGATGTGATAGATTAGGTGTAAAAGATAGACTAGATTAGTTTAGATTAGATGAGATTAGATTATATAAACTGGGTGAGGTTAGATTAGATGGGATTGGATTCGACTAGATTAAACTAGATCAGGTTAGATTAGGTTAGATTATTGATAGACAGGGAGATAGATAGAATAGGATACAGTAGAGTAGAATAGAGTAGAACAAAATAGAATAGAATAGTGTAGAGCAGAATAGAATAGCATAGAATAGAAAAGAATAGAATCAAGCAGAATAGAGTTAGAATAGAACAGAGCAGAACAGAACAGAGCAGAGCAAACAAAATGGAATAGAACAGAACAGAATAGAACAGAAAAGAGCAGAATGATTGCTAGGTACATAGATCGATAGATAGATATGATTATACGTGCATCAACATGGATCCTTAGATGTGGTTTGGTGGTAATAGCATCGTATATGTTTGTGACATGTTTGCACCTGAAAAGTATCGCATCACCAAAACAAAAGCAACCTTTAACATAGAAGGTCGTGGAATATGTTTTTTTGAAGTCGCTTGTAGTAGCTTGAAAGGGTGAGTCGTAGGTCTTGGCAATGCAATATGCACCATGCCAGTTCTGTATGAGAAGCCGCATTTTTATCCCGGAAAGAAAACTTCACGTGCATGCCCTGGCAAGTTTCCAGGCCGGAAAACCAAAGCACGAGTTCTCACCAAAGGCAATCTGATGATCGTCTGACCTTGCTGGCTACTCACCAGGCATCTTGATCGTACCTTGGCTCACGAAACAACTTCCACATACAAAAAATTCCAAATGGAATCGAAAGATGTGATGACCAAGTCATTGAAACCACTGCGGCAAGCCGCCTGTACCTGGATCATCCAGTATGCAAACGTGGGCTGTTGTGCGCACCGGGCTCAACCAAGGCAGGTTGCGGGCGGGAGCGTGGTTTCGACCCGTCAGGGTGCAAGAATGAAAAAGGATGAGGCTACTACAAAATTCAGTCCGAGCCCCTCTGCCAAGCCTGCGTTAGTTGCACGCCGTACGTTCCATTCCAGGCATTCATGCCTCACCCCGGCCCTATCATGACGCAGCGGCAAGTACCTTGGGGTACAAAGTTGGCTACCTTGTTCGTCTCTGAAAGTGGGCTGCCGTGCTGTCAGGGAAGGCGCCCGTGGTTGCGCCACAAACTCATCGAGGTTCTGCATCGGGTCACTAGGCGCACAAAAAGCTCCGGTGCCAACTTAACACACCCAGTTGCGCTGCAGCTAGGAGGCAATTCGAAAGGTAGGCACGCCTATTTTGCCCATCATGGCAAAGCGAAAGTCTCGGCCAAGGATATGGCTTCGGCTTCGGGAGCGGGGTCGGGAGAGCCACGTTGATCTAACCATATCTAACCTAACATGGGCTGGCTTGATCCTCCGCTCTACATGCAACTGGCATCTTCAGGCCGTCTTCTGATGTTTCCCGCAATTTGGGCCATCGTCTGATGAAGGTGGGTTGCTGCTCTGTCGAAAGCGAATTACCCAACAACTTGGTGCGGCCGGTGGCTTTTCAACTGAACACCTTGGTTTTGCTGACAGTGTAGTATCTGCTTGTGCTGCGCGCAGCTTCTGATCGCTTTAGTCCATAAAACAAACATCGTCACAACAAGCAGCCCCACCCACCCTCCAGGACTGTTTTGCTCGGAGGCTCTCATTCTGTACTGGTGACTGACTTTGCAATCAGTCACCTGGTCCACAACTCACCAGTTGCGCCAGGCTCACCTCATCTTTGACAACGTCGCGTGACTGGTGGGCGTGCTCACACTTCTTGCACTGGCTGGTGCTGCTCAGGAACTTTGGCGATAAGGTCACCTTCACGTTCTTCATCGTTCTTCTCTGCAAAGTGCCACCTGCACCAGGTATCCCAACTGGCCAAGCTTAAGTTCCACGAAGCCCTTCTGACTCTGTGGGATGTTCTGCCATGTATCCCAGTGGAAACAACCCAGCACTGGTCGGGTACCACAGGTTTGTTGGGTCGCCATAAAGAGGCCGGCTGAACTGAGTTGTTGGTCACCGAGGGGAGCAGTGCCACGCTCACGCCAGAACCAGCCGGACATGGGATGGGGGTGTTCGGAGCAGCGCATGGCACCGGAGTTCCCGGGTTGATGTGTTGCCGCAACTGCTCGGTTTCATCCATTCCTACCACATTGGCGTTCAGTGGGATGTCCTGGAGGGCTTCCTCGATGTAGCGAAAGACTGCTGATCCATCTGCACAGCATCCCAATCTCGTGGATCGGTAAGCTTCTCCTGGCGTACCACGTAGCACCACTTCTTCTGCCTGAGTGCCCTGACATGCCTTCATCACTTGTTTCCATCCAAGCTTTCACCATCTTGACCTTTTGGACTTGCGTCCCAAAAGTGGGGGATAAAGGGCGTTGCCTCGGATGGATTTGCATGGTCTGCCGGGATCCTCGTCACCATATTCCATGGGCACAGTCTCAGGCACGACGTGTTGTTGCAGCATCGTAGTGTTCTCTTAACACCAAGAGCTTCTTGGCCCATCTTCGACTTCTTTATGTTCAGCGTGACCGTCTTCTTCACGAAGTTCAGACGTATGTCGGTCACCTTGAGGTGGACTAGTTGCACGCACCCAAGCATCCACACCACAGCCCAGCCATATGCCCAAGCTGTTCTTGTTGGAACCCCCTGGGTTATGTTCTCAGGGTTGAACTCCTTTGCCCTGGCTTCATGGCCGCTGTCTCTCTTCAGCGCCCTTTTCACCATGGCCAGCTGCCGTTCGAGCACATCAGACCAGGATGCCCCGCCCTCTAACTGCATGACAATGAGCTTCACCTTGGTCAGCGCTTTTGATACCGGCCTCTCCCAACACCGCTGCAAGGGTCAGCAGTTCATCGCAGGATATGCCATTGCCTTGGAGCTTTATGTCGCAGCTTTCCATGATTTCCACAACTTTTCTTCTCTTAGACTCGTTTGGGGCGAGGGTTGCGGCCGAAAACAGCTTGGCTTTCCGTCTGGACCTAGCTTCGGCTATCCATCCCGGTGACCTGGCCATAGTTGCCATTGCTTTTAGAAGTCTCTTGTTGCCACGGGGCTCGGGGATACCACGTTTGCCATGGTTTGCATCAAGTTTAGGACAGCCCTTCCCTTTTCCGTGGCACTTGGTATTCCCCGGGTCCCCTTCTGGTTCTCTTGCCTCTCCGAAGCATTGCGGTTGCTTGTTGGAGGGCTTCTTTCGCTTTGAACTCTTGCTGGAAGACCTCTTCGAAGCTCGGCTTGTCTGGCTCCTTGAGCTGCTGGGGCTTTGCCTCCACCGTATCTAAGAACTTGGAGGGCTGGGATAGAAATCCTCCGAAATTCTGGATCCCTGTGCTCCCAGCTCGCCCTTGTCCTTCGTGCGGCGTCGCCGCGAGCAGCATTGTTTCCAGCACAGAGCCCCGGCGCTGACTGTCATCAGCACCGTTAGCAACCATAGCTGAAGGAACCACAGCAGCACGTCGCTCTCTCCCTCAGGGGAGGGGCCTCATCAGGCCGCTGCGAGCTTGAACCTCCATGGTGCTGTGGCATAACCTGCTAAAACTGCGCAGGATTCACACTGAACTCAACGTGTGAACACCGCAGACATGAAAATAGCCATGTCAAAAACAAGGAGGGGTGCATTCAGCACAACAAACAGGCAGGTCATCTCATTTGAATTAAATCAGGTGACCTGCCACCCTTTGTCGTCGACGGATTTCCTGTTCACCTCGACGACAGGTGTTCGAAGATCGATTCTTGCGGGGTGAGCTCTCTCGCCCCTCAGCTGTTGCGCCTCCAGGAGCTTTAGGCCAAAAGCGACATGCCTTCCAAGGTGCTGCACGACTCAAATGCCACACCGTCCAGTCCAGGCGGCTTCAGCTTGTTGGCCCTTTGCTCCAGCCTCGGCAACTAGTCAGCCTTCCACGAACCCCTCAGGTGGTGAAACTTCTCCAGCTAGCCCGGCCGCCAGGAAGTTCAACGAAGGATGGGGGCTGCTCAGCCTCCTTGCTACTGCCTGCGCCATGGACGAGTCTGACCTGATCATGACCGCCCTCTCACGGAATTTCGCCCCCCACTTGTCGAAAGCTCTGACAATGGTGAAGGCTTCCATCACTGCCTGGGACGATGACTCCCCAAATTCCACCTTCAGGAGCTTGGCCTCGGTTTCGGATTTCAAACCTTCCACAGCTTCGACAGGGAGCTGTCTGCGTTCCCCCGGTATGATGACCCCATCGATACGTGGGGCCTCTTTATCCATTCAATTCTGATGAGGTTCTCCACGGGGTTCTCAAACAGTTTCAAGTGAACGCCCCCCAACCGCTTGGGTCTTCCTTCTGGTGTCATCTCTCGCCGCTGCTCTCCTGTCTTCTGTTCCATCGGCTTGGTCGCGCTCCACGTCCTTGAGGGTGGCGTAGAGCACATTGGCAGTCCAGCAGACTCTGGGAAGGATGCTTCCGATCCACGGTAGTCTGCCTGTCGTGGATCTCAGATCCTTAATGGCACCCATTCCCCCGGGAGCCAAGTCCTCAGCGTGTTCAACACCTGGTCAACCATGCTTCTGGAGATGCTGAGGACGATGACTTCCGGTTTTTCCGTCGGCACCACCGGGACCTATCACGCACCCAATCCAAGTTATCCTTCTGCCGCGTTCGCCCTTCTTCATGCTGATTCGCACAACAAACGCCGCTGCCGTGTATAGCAGCAAGGCTAGTCGCTTCTCTCTGAGCGCTCTGCCGCCCAGTGCTGCAATCAGTACGTCATCCACGTACACTTGGAGCTGCGTCTCTTCTGGGCTCAGCAGGCTTTGGAGTAGTCGCCCTAAGGCTGAGCTCAACCTGCCCACGATGAGGGGCGCACACTTGTAGCCGAACAGCGTGGCTGTCCATACCAACGCCTCCTGGTCATGTTCGTCGGGCGTCACACAGTGTCTCAGCTCCTCCTTCCTCACCGGAAAGTGGCAGAAGGCATCTTCCAGGTCGATGAGGTAGAACTCGAAATCATCATCGTCTCGGCTCTCTCGGCGACCTTTGTCTCCACCTCGAGGTTTCCACATGTCCTGCAACATGTGGGTCACGTCGGTGAGGCGTGGCAGGACTGTCCTTTCGTCTGCCCTTGCTCTTGCGTTTCCGAGGCTTCCCCTCATGTCCAAGATTATATGTCTCTTCACATTCCCATCCTCCTTTTGCTTCAGTATCAGTGCCATCTTCAACACCGTTCCGGTCTGGCCCAAGACGTCCTTGACCCATTGCCATGTTGCCCTTCTTGCGAAATTCTTCTCCACGTAGCGGTTGATCTCGATCGTGGCCTCTTCCGCCTTGGACCTGACAGATTCATAGTTGCGAAGGTGTCTCAGCTCCTGCATGGACACATTCATCGCTTATCGAAGGAGGGAAGACACCACTCGGGGATCTGTATCTCCATTCCCAATCGGGGCGCCCCTCCTCATAAAATCGGGCCCCATGCCTCCCACAAGTCAGCCTCCAGCGGGGAAGTAAATTCCCATTTTTCTTTGACCGTAGGTTTCTCATCGATCTGCGCCAGGTGGTCCTTTAACGCTTGGGTCCACAACTCCAGGAGCTCTTTGTCGAAGTTGTTGCCCGCTTTTCCATACTTTGCAGCCATGTCCAATTGGATGGGACTCCACAAACTCATCCCAGAGTCCAGCGATTTTCTTGCCCACCAACGCCATCTGGTTGAGGTGTCTGACGCTCTTTGCGGGGTTTCCCATGCCTCCCACGCGGAGCCTGTTATGCTCCGCGCGGAGCCTGTTATGCTCTTCTCTGAGCTCTTTCATGGGTCTTGCCTTGGAGCTTGATGGCAGCTCATCGCTCTCGATGTTGTCAATCTTGGATGCTTCCGTCTGCTGCGTGTCGCCGCAGCTCTTTTTCTCTTCATTCTCCAACCAAGCTTTCTGAAGCTCGTTGACCGCCTGGGACTTTGTCTCGACCTGGTATCTCCACCACTCCAGGTTCAAGGTTTTGTTCCAGACGGCCACAGCCTCGCCTGCTATGAGTTCTGCGAGAGCCGTCGGGTACTCCGCAGCACGAGCTGTCATCTCCTTGCCCACCAACGGGGTGTGCTTGACCCAAGCAGGGCACCTGCATACCCTCTGCACCTTCTCAATGCGCCCAGATTCCAGGCTTTAAGAACATCTGCTTCTCCTTGAGCTGGTACGCGCAGGTGTTGTACTTGATCTTCTTCCATTGCAGAAGTTCTCTGCAGACTTGCCTCCACTTCCCGTGCATCCCAAGCGCTCCCAAATTCTTCACTGCCTGGCGGGTTCTCAAGCGATCCAAGAGGTGGAACTTTGCGGGAGATGCAGCTGTTAATCTGGGCCTCATAGATCTCTGCCGCCTGCGTGGCCATGCGAGCGCCTCGGTCAGCTTCGGCTTGTTGGCTCTGGCTGTCAATCCATAGATGTGCGCTTTGTCAAGAAACGGTCCAGGTTGTCCAGGAACCTTGTGATGCCGTGCCATTGAGAAATTCCCGCAAGGAAATCCCGCATGGGCGTAGTCCCGCTCACCACGGCTGACGTCCTCCTTCATGATCTTGAAGCCGTTGTGATCGGACAGGTCGAGCTTTGGGTCCTTCATCTTGTCCAGGCTCCGGGTCCTGGTAGCTTCCAACTGAGTTACTTCATGACGGGGATCTCTGGGACCTGAATACATGTGGAGGAACTTAAACGGTCTGTTCCTTCTGTACTCTTCGAAGCTCTTCGGACTTTTCAGAGCCGCTTCAACTCGCCTCGGTCTCATTGGTCCCTCCGGAAGCTTTGCCTGAGGTGCCACCGGTGCCACATGGCTACTATCAGCAGGAGCGGGGCCCTCGGCGGCTGATGGCCTTTCATCGGCATCATCACCAAAATCCACTGAGGGTGGGCTGACATCCATCTGCCCGTCAGCCGCCATCTTGCTGCAGTGCCACGCATTCACTCCCCCTTATTTCAAAAGGTTTCTGGCCAAAGTTTCAACTTGACAAAACCACCTGAACCTGCCTGCCTTCATGCGAAAACAACTTCAGCACACGACCGATACCGACCCTCCCCAAACCAAATGTTTTCCAACACGAAACTCAAGGTTTGTTGCAGTCGGCGTCCTGGTGCGAAGGCGACAAGCATTTACGACACTTGTGAGCTCTCTTGATCGGGCCTGAGCAGTCAGCTTCTGGGGGAAGCTTGCCACGCGCGCCGCTCCCGATGCCCATGAGAAACAAATCGGAGTACCCGACTGGTCTTTGCTTTTCCCTTTCCCTTTCCTTCCAGAACCTTTACCTCCACTGTTCGGTGTTCCCTTTTGTGCTCCATGCCCTTGTCGTAAATGTCTGAGCCCCTCCATATCGGCTTGGAACTTTCTCTTCCTTGCAGCTCTCGTGTCCTTGTTGGACTGTCTTTTAGGATGATCACCACCATCATGTCCAGGGGGAAGGTTGTCACTTATCGAATCTTGCAAGCCCGGCACATGAGCCTTGACAGCGACCTCAGTGGCCACAACAGGTTGCCCACGAGCACCCGCAGCCACCCATGCCGACGCTGGTATGTGAACCTTCTCCGACCAGTAGGCTTCATCTTTCGTGATCTGGATGAAGATGCAGCTCCATGGTGAATCCGGGTTCCAGTCTCGTGGAACTTGATGTCCAAGACCGGCCTCCACCGCGAACTGCCTTCTCATCTTTGCCATACGTTCAGCACGTGCTGCATCCTCAGCTCGGTATATCAAACACCAAGCTGAAGGCCATTGCGTCACCAGCTTCTCAATGTGTCTGCCATAAACTTCCAACGCCGCGAGCGATACCACGTTCAAAATCAAGCATGCTGTCTTCAGCACACGCCAGGCAGCAAGCCAACCCTGGTACGTAGGTGGACCAGGAAGGTCCCGCTGCCGATATGTCCTGTTTCCCAGCGGTGTAAAGATACGGCACCGCTGCACCTTGGTGAGCTTTCGCTCGAATGGGCCAAAGACCCCAGAAGTCCACGTAAGGTGGAGCGCTGTCTCAAAAAACACGCCTTGCTCAGGCCGCCAATTGATTGCGGCTTGGCCCCTCAGCTTCTTCCGGCATTGCGCGCATGATTGCATGGTAGTTTTTCAACCATGCGTTCATTTCACTGGTGCTGCGTGGTACCAGTTCCGAATCGTCAGACTGGTCAATCAACCGCTTGCTGTGGAGGTCTGTCCCGACGGCTCTGCATTTGCCACCTCTTGCCGGGTTCAGAGCGTGATGCCAGCCAACAAGCCAGTCCTTGGGAACGCCGCCCGGAGTCTCATGTCGTTATCAAAGTCCCCCCCGATCTGGGTGAAGGCATTCCAATGCCCAGCACCTAGATTGAAATGAGTCAGGAGGTCATTGAACTGGCGGAAGTCAGTCCAGTCCTGCCACCTCCCAAACAAGGCCATGGCAACTCGCGCCTTACAAACAGCGGGCAGGGAAAACTGTTGCCATGGTCTACCGCTGCAGCTGAGCCCCTTTGGCTGCAGTGTTTCCCACCCATCCACCCATCACTGTGTTTCCTTTGTTTGTTCTGTGTCTCTTGCAGAGACACCCCAAGCACAGCGAGCAGCGGCCGATGGCAACCAGTGCCTTGTGAAGGGCGTTTATGAATGGCATCTGCAAATCATGCAGGCATCTGTCTGTTGGGTGATCGGGGTTTGCGTTGTTGATGAAGGTGGGTTGTGGCACGCGTGGCCAGCATGCCGACGTCTTCCCCATTCACGGCATCCAATAGCGCACAATGTTCATCTAGACGCATGACGCCACTCACGACATGATGGTGACAGGCGGTGCAGGAACATGGGGCTGTCGGCTGTCAGTAGTTTTGCCTCGTGTTAGTTGCATGCCGCGCGCCCTACTTCATTCCATGCGGGCATGTCTCGTCCGGGCCCTTTTTGGGAAAGTATCTTAGGCACGAACTCGACTATGCCATTGGCCATTGGTCTCTTAAACGGGCCGCATTGCTGTCTGCTGACTTTGGCTTCGGGACAGGGGTCAGGAGATCCAAGCCGATTTAAGAACCTGGAATTTCTACATTCTAGGTGGCAAAGTTTGCTGTCGTTGGGTGTGCCCTTCCTAGATCTGTTGCGCAGCCCTACATGAACTGCTTAATTGGGCAATACCTGCTCAGCTACTTCTTTGCAATGCTCCAATTGCAAGCAAAGTTGCGAAATACAATCCGACCTCTGGTGAGGTCGAACGGTGACATCTCCACAGTCACGGCATCTCCTTCCATTACCTGGCAGACGCACCGTGCTTTTCGATGCGCCCTACCTCAATACCTTCCCGTTCCGCCCCATCGGAAGTGCGGGAATCCCCTGAGAAGTACAAAGAAAAACAAAGCAAACGTGTCGTGCTAGCACCCTAATTCTTGCGGTTTGGCACATCTGCAAGGAATGAATGCTTCTGCTTTAGATTTGTTCCGGCCCAGAAGGAAAACAAGGTTGTCCGGAGTCTCGGAGTATATGATGAAAAACTTGAACTAATGTTAGCATGGTCATATTGACAAGGAGGCTGTTGCTGAGTCGCGGCCGCAGAC